GACTACCTTCGCTCGGGTTAGTTATCCAATGTATACCTCTCAATAAGTATTGTATCCCATTCAGATTAGCAATACCGGACTGATTAATATAATCTTTAAACCCAGTTATAATACCAGTCACTGATTCTTTTTTCGCCTGAATAAGCATTTCTACCAATTCACGATAATAATCATTTTTTGCAATACATCTCATATTTTCTCGTGTTAATCTACTATAGAATTCACTTCTAAAATGATCTTTACAGAGTTTGACGATATCATTACATTTCTTCGCCTTTAAACAGTAATCCACTATTGATTCTTCATCTTGAATAAACAATCTACATCGGAACTTCTCAATACCATCCGGCCATATTTTCTCTCGAAGTTCATGCGGATAATATGGCAATTTTATCAGACTTAATATTTGCGAAAGATAAAAGGCATCAAATTGTAGGAATACATGGAATAATGACATTGGATTTTTTACACTGGGTAAAGCATATACAAATTGCTTAAGCGCTTTCTCCCTCCAATGCCTGACCGCCTTTGTCTCCCAATAGGTTTTGATTATGCAAAAAAGATCGTCTTAGTATCTCCACTCATCGGGATTCCTTACATTATCCCATTTATATTTCAATCCAAATTCTTTGATAAATTCATTATAGGCCTCATCCGTTTCATCATCTGACATTTTGCTAATAGATCAATTATACTTAATAAAAAAATAAAGTACTGGTTAGCATGCATAGCTTCTTTTCAGTATATGCGAAATTTAATATGTCACACAGATCTATTATGTGATCAGCCTATTTTTGTCGCACATGAGCAAGCTGGTGATCACCGCTCTGGTTGATAAGCAGTATTTCGGACACAAATTTGAATATATGCTAGCTAGAGGTAAACACAATCATGACAAGTAATACTAATATTAGTTCTGATCAAGTCGATGATGAGCTACATGAAGAGCTTTTATATGAAGTGCTTTTGTATAAGAAGAAAGATATAATAGCTATTCAGAAAAAGCTCAGTATGCTT